CAGCCTCCGGGTTTTACTAAGTCCACTGGGCCTGTTGTGATCTGCTTTATTGTACTTGGCCTGCTGCTGAGACCCAAGGAAGAGGATCAAGCTTCCCGTCCAGGCTCCTGGGATATACCTGTCTCCTTCTCCTGCTCTGGCTGCTGTGAGGACCTTGTTGAGGGTTCTGTTACCTCCTCTTATGTCTTTGATGGTCCCCTTGTCAGACTCTGTCCCAGGTCTCTGGCTTTTCCATGCAGAATCAGCCAGGTAATTTGTGGGTCCTGTAAAAATGACAAGGTAAGGCCCATCTCAGTCACTTTCCTCATAGCTGGGATAAAACATAAAGCCCCTGCAACTTAAAAAGAGCCTATTTTGGCTCCAGTTTTAGTCCCTGGTCAGTTCCAAGGCAGGAATGGGCAGTAGGGAGACCTGGTGGAGAATGCTCACCTCATGATGGTCGAGTAGCACAGAGTGCCAGAGGAGGAGCCAGGAAGGGGCCCCCAGACCCCTTCTCACAGCAGTGGGGTTTGCAGGTGCGGCTGGGCTGTAGCCTTCACCTGGCAGTCCTTGCTGTCTACCTGGCTGCCAGCTGATCTCCAGGTGCATCTTTGTAGCCATCTCTACACCTCCAACCCTGTTCTGTTGTTTGGCTCTAAGTGAAGGAAGCCACCCTGATAGCTACTGTGGGGAGCTCATGTCCAACTCTTTGAAAGGCCCTAGGGCCACATAGAGCATCCCGAAAAAAAATTCTGCTTCCTGTCTGCAGCAGCAACAGCCCCTGCCTCAACTCCAGATGGGCCTTTGTGGCCCCACAATTGTGCAGTTCATGTCCTTAAAATGGCCCTCTGTGCACACGGTGTTAGTTTGCTTTAGTGGAGCTGGGAATCATGCTCTGCCATAAACATGGCAGGCAAGTGCTCAACCAATGAGCTGCTTCCCCAACCTCGAGTACGCTGTATGCTAATAATGTATAACAGAAGCACCGCAGTGAGCAAGAACTGTTCACAGGGAAAGCCAGACACCTTCGGCTGCGCAATATATGTTTCCATCTATAGAGGTGCGGGATAGGTACACCCCAGGGCCCCCATGGGCTGGAAGGGAGCGATTGTGTTGTGCACTGTTGAGAGCAATGAAAAATGTTTAGAACTAGCAGCTGTGTAATAACGGGACTCCACCACCTGCCACTCAACTGTTGACTTTTTTTTTTTTTTTTTTAATCGGTACCGGGGATTGAATTCATGACTGCCTGCTTGCAAGGCAGGCGCTTATGCCGCTAAGCTAAATCCCCAGCCTCTTCAACTGTTGATTTTTAAATGGTGAAAGTGTTGGACAGGGTGGCCCACACCTGTAATCCCAGCACTTTAGAAAGCTGAGGCTGGAGGATCACCAAGAATCTGAGGCCAGCCTGGGCTACACAGTGAGTTCAAAGCCAGCCCCAACTATTGTGAGATGGTTTCAGAAAAACAAAAATAAAATGGTGAATTTTCTCTTATGTGAATTGTATATCAATAAAATATATTGGATATAAAATATTTAATTTAGGCATATTATTTATCGCTATTGCTGAGTTTTTGAGTGACCGTTCCTCCCCCTTAAATTTCACTTTGGAGTCTGAGCTCAGGCCAACTCCAGTCCATCCCACAAGCAGATCCCAAAGAAAACCTTCTAACACTTGCCTCAGGCCTGTCCTTCTGTGGTTCCTCTGTGGCCTCAGGACAGTCTCTCCCTGTTGCCTTCCAGCTGGCCTTGCTCAGCAAGCCATACTCCAGTTGGCCTGGTGCCCTGGGCTCCACTGGGCTGCCTGCTGTCCTCCTAGTGTCCCTCCTCCCCTCCCCCACTCCTCTTCCAGTCGCAGCTCAAGGGCAAACAGCCCTGACCACCCCTCAGCTGTCCAGGACTCAGGACCCAGCTCCCCACCCTGAGCCTGCCTCCTTGCTGTGGCTCTTCCTGGTTCAGGCCCTGCCCCTCAAAGGCCTGGGAAACTAACACTGGAATCACACTGCATTTCCACCACAACACAGGTGTTCAGGGACCTAATGACTTTTCTAGGGACGAGTGGCTGGGGTGGGACACTGGGCTCTCCTCACAATGGTCGGGGTGGTCCCCCACCGACTACCTCAAAACCACAGCCTCTGCTGCTCACCCCCACCCAACACTGCCACAACAGCTGCTGCAGTCTGGAAGAAATTACTCTCCTAAACAACCAGACTTCCCCAGTTTCAGGAAATTCCAAGCTGGGCAGGGGGAGGGGCTGGGCAGGGGTGGGGTGTCCACCCCTCCTCCACCCCTCTGCTCCCCACCCACACCCTATCCCTGCTCCCCTGCCCCAGTCAGCGGAGGGAAGTCAGCTTTTCAACTGCTGCTTTTTGGCCCTTCAAGTCCAAGTTTTGGGGATAAGGAGGCTTGGGCGGGGCCTCACTCTGCTACTGCACAAAGAACTAAGCAGGACTGGGCAATGACTCACTACTGCTTGAGTTCCCACCATGGCCCCTGAGAGGGGCTGACGCTCCTGGGTGCAGGTAGGGAAGGGTCTGTCACCAGTGAAGGAACCCTGGGCCTGAGAGAGGAGGGCTGGAATCTGAGAGCCCAGGAGGTGACCTGAGGCAGTGACCCCTGGAAGATGGACACCTGGGCCTCCGTGTCCACTCCTGGTGAGACCCAACATCTCATTGCCAGGTGAACACCTTCCTGCCAAGAGGAAGCAGGAAGAAGGGTGTGCAGCGGGCCAGTAAAGTGGACTCTGACCCTCTGCTCCAGGAGACCTCGTACTCTCTGTGCTCAGGGAAAACCTCAAGGTAAGGGGCAGTGGTGGGCAGGGGTCACCGATCTGGGCTAGAGGAAAGAGGGACAGGGGCCAGAAGTGGGCTGTGAAGCCCAGCCCTGCCACATGGCCCAGGAGTAGGTGGCACTCTCAGGGCCAGGGTCGGGGTGGGCAATGAAGCTGACCTGCAGCCTCTACTGCAGTCTCTTCAGAGTTTCAGAACCAGTCAGACCAGTCTGGACTGGTGTTTCCACCGTAGGGGGTGGGGAGCTGGGTCCAAAAACCCAAAATGAAGCCGATGTGCCCCAACACTGTAGCTGGAGCTGTCCCTCCAGGGGCAGGAAAGGGGCAGGAATGGGAGGAAGGCTGGTTTCCAGCTGGAGTCAGGGTGCACACCCCGTTTGCGCCGGCTCTGCAGCTTTCATGTTGGACCAAAACAACAGTCCCTCTGTCCAAGCCCCGCCGAGGATGAACGTTTTCCAAGAGTGACCTCACTGCAACAAGCTCAGCATCCCCAGTAGATGGAGATTAGAGCCTGGGTCCCAGGGGACACCCTGGGTTGCAGGGAGTGACTTGCCTGAGGTCTCAGAGCGGCCAGAAGACTCCTGTTTACTCATCCAGGTTAAGGTCAGAGAAGTCTGATAAACAGTTTCCCAGAGTTGGTGATGGAGTGGAGAGAGAGAGAGACGGAGAGGCAGACAGTCAGACACACAGAGACGGAGACAGATAAGGAAGGGCAGTCCCCAGAGTACATGCACCTAACTTTTGGCTTTACTTTGTCTCTACATTACCTCTGACACCTGCTGGAGAGCTGCTTCCTGAAGGCAGTGCTGGCTGCTTGTCTCCTTCGTACTGTTTTCTGGAGTCCCAGCAGTACTGTTCAGGGGTCCCTCACACTCTCAGCCAACACAGATTACCACTGCTAACACTGTTAAACAAATACTGTTTCCTTCAGTTGAACCGTTCAGTGTGCTCCGTGAGGGAGGTAGTGTTATTGTATCCACTTTGCAGAGGAAAATAGATTGATATATCCCAACTTAGTTAGCTGGCCAAGGATAAGGCTTCTACTGAAATAGAATCACAACTGCGGGAACTGTTAGGACAAAAGCACAAAGCCATCAGAGTCCCACCCAGAAGTTCCACAGAAAACTGCCCAGTTCCACAACACCGGCAGGCAGACGCCGCCCGCGTTTCTATTTACCCTCTAAACCAGTGCGGGGCTGGAGGGCGGTAAGAGTGCACTTAGTTTACAATTCACACCTTCCAGCTTTACACCGTGAATACCTCTCCTGCCACTTTTTAATGTAAGGGAATTTGTATCATTGTTTGACAAAATACGAGAAATTGTATTGTCAGGTCCTGTTCTCTCAAAACCAGGTTAATTAAACGGTGTGAAGACACACTGATGCCTAAGACCAGCCCAAACCTCCCATATTGGGATCTTCAGACTGGCCTGACGTAGGACCTTTGGACACCAAGACTCCGTCCCTTTAATGTCCAGTCCTTAAACCCCCCAGGCGGGAAAGGTGGGAAGCACCCCAAGATCCGTGGAGGTCTTTTCTTGCTGTAGGAAAGCCCTCGGGACGCTCGGCCTAGCGCCAGAGGCACACAGGACTCCGGGATTTGAGCCCAGCAGCCGTGACCTGCTACCTCTCAAAACCTGCTTCCTCACCTGTAAAACAGAAACGATCACTCCCCACACCGCGGCTTGCGGGGCGCACTGACTGACCCCTGTCCCTCCCCGCAGATGTCAATGCTGAAGCAGCGCAGCCCCGCGCAGCCTAAGAAGCGCAGTCCAAAAAGCGGCGCGCTGTCCATCTCAGCACCGCTCGACGACTTTCGGCACATGCTACACGTGGGGCGCGGAGGCGACGCCTTCGGGGACACCTCCTTCCTGAGCAGCCACGGCGTCACGCCGCCCGCCGAGCCCCGTGCACCGCCCGCAGGGACCTCGCCGCCCGCGCCCGCAGCGTCCCCCGACCCGCTGCTGTCCTTCCACCTGGACCTGGGCCCCTCCATGCTGGACGCCGTGCTGGGCGTCATGGACTCGGCGCGCGCGGGGAATGCGGCCGCCCAGCAAGACGCGGACGCGCATACTGGGGCACAGCCCCAACGGGGCCCCCGCGGCCGCACAGACAACGGCCTGCAGCTGGACCAAGGGTTTGGCTTGTAGCCCAGCCCCGCTCCGCCCCGCAGTGTGACATAAACGGCCGCGGAGCGCCAAAGCTCAGTCTGCTCACTCGACGCACGCGACGGCCAGGGTAGCCAGGGCGTCCGAGGGGCGGGCTCCGCCTCCTTCGCTAGACCTCGACCCGGGTGGGGCCGCCTATCTACCCAGCAGCCCGGCGGGGGAACGCCTCCAGGCTCACAGGTGCGGCTCCACAGTCCAGCCTGACTCACAGGCGCACGCTCTTTCGGGTCCGAAGGCGCGCGGAAAAGTGACGCAGGGTGGGGGGGCGGCACCAGGTCCCCAGAGAGGTTGGCGGAGAGGGCATATGCAAATCAGGACTGGGCGTGGCCGCAGGCACAAGAGGGGGGCGAGGTTGGACTCTAAAGATCGGAAGGCCACGGGGCGAGGCCAAGGTGCAGCGGCTGAATCCGCTCTGGAGCCCGGCCTGTGCCCGCCTTACTGCCCTCCGCACCTATGGAGGCGGCCGGGGAGTGCGAGGCCTTCCCCGCGCCCGACGCTGTCACGGCCGCAGAGTCGGCGCTGTCTCCCGGGGGCCCCCCAGCCTGCCGCTTCTTCTTGGAGGGCCGCTGCCACTTCGGCGCCCGTTGCCGCCATCCCCACCCCGGCGCGCCGGCGCCGCCGGTCCGCGAGCCCCAGCCCGAGGTGGGGGCCAAGAAGCCGCCGCTGCGCACGGCCGCGGCCGTCATCCAGCGCATTCGCTGGGACCCGCGCCTGGACCCCGCCGACTTCTCGGTGGGTTACGCTGATCGCTTCCTGGGCGTGCGCGAGGAGCCGTTTAGCGCCTTCTGCTGGGACGAGCCGCTGGCGGCACTGGGCCCGGGCGTGCTGGCTGTGCCGCAGCACCGCGTGCGCTACTTCCGCTACCGCGGCCGCCTGGTATGGGATCGCGCCTCGCGCACCGACCTGGTTTTTGGCTCGGGCTTTGCGGCAGGCCGCGGGCCTACTATCCTAGACGACCCGGCAGACACTGAAACAGAGCTGCGCGGGGAGGAAGCCGAGGACGGCGGCCCTAAGGCGGAACTACAGGGGTTGGACAAGCCCGAGGACCCGCACCCTAAAGTGGAGCTGCCTGGGGAGGATGAGCCCAAGAATCAGCACCCCAGAGTGGAGCTGCCGGGGGAGGAAAAGCCCGAGGACCCAGGCCCTGGGGCAGTGATGCAGGGGAAGGACGCCAGGACACAGCCTCTAAAGGGGCACCTCGCTGCAGCTTCGAGGCAAGCAGAGGCGTTAAAGACCAGCGGAGCCCTCTGGGGGTCGAGTCTGTCCCCTGGGGGGGTGGAAACTGAGTGGGGTCCAGGGCCATGGGCTCAGGACATAAGGGCCCCACGCCAACCGCGCCCCACACACTTCGTGGCCCTCAAAGTGACTGGGCCCAGCCTCCAGGCGGAAGTGGCAGCAGCCCAGGCGCGCCTAGTGCTTCAAGCCCCCGCCTGCGCTGCGTTCCTGGTGCCCCCTGCAGCCCTGCACCTGACTCTGGCCCTTCTGAGACTGGCCGGCCCTGGGGAGGAGGCAGCCGCGATCGTGGCCCTGAGACGGGTTCTCCAGGCCCCCGGACTCCGAGCCCCCCTACGACTCTGCTTCCAAGACCTCATACTCCTGGGTCCCCATGTGCTCTGCGCACCCCCGACCCCCACGCTGGCAGGCGAAGCCCAGGAGCTAAGCCGAAGGCTGGAGATGGAGGGGCTAACGGTGCTGCAAGCCCCTGACCCCCACCTCACCCTGGCCAAGGCGCCCCATGGCTCTCAGGCCCGCCTCCCTGTGCCTGAGTTCGGCCTGAACCAGGAGCTTGGGACCCAGTCTGTGGGAGGGCTCTGGCTATGCCGCATAGGAAGGGCAGGGGATGCCTACCAGCCCCTGGCAGAAGCGCCCTGGGGCCACAGTGCAAACAGCACAGACAAGGCATGCAGGTGACAGGATTGAAGGCAGATGGACACGAGGAGCTCACTCGCTCTCTCTTTAATTTTGGCTTCTCAAGCTTCCACAGGGCGTCAGCGCTCCAAGGAGAGAATGGAGGAGGAGGGGAGAGGAGGGAAGGAGGGAGGGAGGCAGAGGGGACGTCTGGAAGAAAAGCAGCCTGACAGTCCAGCTGTTTGCGAACTTGTACACAGCCTCCAATTACATGGCAGAAGAGGGAGGGAGGGCCGAAAAGAAAGGGGAGGAAGAAAAAATAACTGAAATAAACACACACACAAAGAAAAGAGAAGGAAACATGACGTGAGCTGGTGATCCATGAGGTGGGAGGGGAGGGCAACCGTTTTTACCTGTGCGAACCAGGGAGGATGGGAGCAGGGGAGGAGGGAGGAGAGGGGGAAAAAAACCAGAGGAGACATTGGGGTGGGGAGGAGGGGACACGGAGACAACTTAATACAACTTGAGCGCAGGTGGCCCGGCCGGCGAGGTCCCACGCTGGCCTCCGGATCCTCAGTGCAGTGCGGTGGTGCTGGTCTGGTGGCGGTGGCGGTGGTGGTGATGGTGCGGCATTGGCATTTCCAGGGTGGGGGGCCCAAGGGTGGGGCACAGTCTGAGTGGCTCCCCTCACCCCAACACGGAGGCCCAGCGGGCTCGGCAACAAGAGTCTGTGGAGGGGTGCTGGCGGGGCGGGTAGGCTGGCTGGCGCCAGAGGTGGCAGGTGGCCGGCGGGCTGTCGGCCGTCTTCTCCCCGCGGGCAGCGCCGGGCACGGGACGGGCCAGCACGCAGGGCAGGACCGAAGTGAGCTCGAGAGAGAGAGAGAGAAAACACTGAGACAGCATTAGTGCGGTGAAGGTGGACAGGCCTGCAGACCCCCCTCACCACCCTCCTTGCCCCACCCTGAGGCAAAAATAAAAACGTAGAAAAATCTCTGTACAGATGTCCCGCACGCAGGGTTCCGGGACGGAGCGGCGGCTCTTCCTGGAGCCCACTCCCCACAAACTCATTTACAACCCAAGTCCATGGCTCAAAAACAAGCTGGGCAGGGCGGCGCCGGGCGCCTGCCCGGGCGCTGGTGCTCAGAAGGCTGGCAGCTGCGCCAGGCTGAGGCGGCAGTCGATGCTGGAGTTGTCGGGGCCCGTGTAGGCCAGGCCCAGGGGCTCTAGGAAGGCCCGGCAGGCGGCCTCGCCCTCGAAGGCCAGCTCGGCCTGCAGGTAGGAGACGGGCAGCGCAGGGCGGAAGCTACGGAGACAAGAGGAGAGAGGGCTGAAGCGGGTGGAGGGCGCGGCCCGAGCGGGGAGCGGTGTCCCCCTCGGCACCCACGGGTTTCCTGAGTATGGCCCCTGCTGTCGGCCCCAGCCTCCCGACCTCCCCCGGGGCTCGAGGGGCCCCGAGTCAGGCTGGAGGCCCCAGTCCCCAGCTGTACCCCCCTCACCTGCACTTACCTGTCCAGAAAGGAGAGGGAACAGGAGTGGAGGGGCTGGAGCCAGACCCCCCCGAGGAGGGATCGGTGTGGGCAGAGGGCAGGGCCAGCTGCCTGCGGGGCCAAAGTGCCCCAGGCACAGGCGTGTCAGCTGGCACCTAGGCACTGTGCAGGAGACAGCTGTCTGAACAGCATCCTGCTGACTTGGGGCCTCCCTACAGGTTGCAGAGCTGCTCCCTGCACTGGCTTGGGCTGTACTCCCACCAAGTGCTGCCTGCAAAGCCTGTCCTGACCCTGGTGCCACCTTTCTGCCACTGGGGCTGGCTTCCTGCCTCGTTATGAACAGTTCTGAGATCTGAGAGGGTCTCACCTGCTAAAGGCCAGGCCAGCCTCCCAGAGGCACAAAAGGGAGGTCAGAAATAGCCAGTAACACAAAAGGAACGGACGTGTAACCATTGCCCTAGGGTGTGCCCGGTGCAGCACCAACCTGAGGGCTGTGCGGCTCCACCCCTTCCCTCCCCGCCAACCAGGGATCCTGTGCCACGGGCTCAACCTGGTACAGCCTCTCCCTGTCTGGCTGGAGTGGCAGCCTGGGTTCGCAGCCTTCAGCCGAGTCCTACCCTCTGCCACAGACCTCCCTTGGCTCCCTACAGCCCTTCTGCCATTGGGCAGACCAGGATGTCTCAGCCTGAGCAAGCTGACATCTGGGGTCCTGGGGTGCTGGATGCCTGCTGGACGCCTGCAGCATACCCCTCACATGATAATCAACTGTGTGTGTGGTCCCATTGTCCCTGGGGCCATTTCCACTGGAATAGAGAACTAAGGTCCACGCCTCAACCACCAGCCCCCAGCCCTGCAGTCCCTCAGCACTTCTGCCACTCCCCAAGGGGCTGAATGGGAACTGGGCCTTGGCTAAAGACCAAAACTGCAAGGGCAGGCTGAGTTCTCCAAGTTTCTCTAGTGTGGGGGCACTGAGGAATTGCAACAGGCAGGCGGGGGCCTGCAGGGGGCGACACAGCCCAGCTGAGCCAGATCCCCGCAGACATGAGCTGGAGGACAGAAGGGACCAGGAGCATGGAGGACAGAAAGCGGGGAGGTCAGCCAGAAAAGGGGACCTGGAAGGGAGGACAGTAAAAGGGCAGGTAACCGAGGGCACAGGAGGACTCCAGCAGGAGGGCAGAAGGCCCCAGGCCGCCAGGAGCATGGGGAGGGTGGGAGGCGTGGCAGAGCCACAGCACGGTGCCACATACGTTTTGATCATTGCCTTGAGGGCGGTCTTGCGCTCCCGGTCTGCAAACTTGTCCACGAGGTAGCCGGACATGCAAGGTGCATGGCAGTAGAGCCGGAAGAAGCGGTGGTAATTGCCCAGGGCCCAGGCTGCCCGCAATGCCAACGCGTGGGCCACACAAGGGTCTGCCTTCAGCTCCCGTGTGAGGTAGGCCAGCTCCGTGGTGATGTCTGTGCCCCAGACACACACACCGGTCGGCAGGGTGCCAGCTGGGCACCCCACCCTGGATAGCTGGCAGGGCCAGGCCTCTTACCTCCTGAGTTCTTGGTGAAGATGTAGTAGAGGATCCGATAGGCAGTGAATTCACCCACGTTGCCTGACAAGTTCTCTGCGTACAGAGACTTCAGCTGTGTCTGGCACTGGTTGAACTCTTCGTGGTCACCCTGAGGGCAGGAGCAGCACTGTGAGGCCCAGACAGGCATGCATGCCGAGGGGCACTGGGAGGCCTACACAGGTGGGCACTCACCTTCTCCAAGGCAATGCGGGCATGGGTCTCATACACCTCCACAGTGAACTCGGTTCGGACACCTTGTACCTGGGTGTGGGGACATGAGAGTCACGCAGAGCAGGCTGGGGCTGGATGGCCACACCAGGGTCCCTCCCAAGGTCCTGCCCACCGTCAGATCCTGCCGAATGGACTTCATCTGCTCGCAGGCAAAGGCATAGTCCTGCTTCTCCTTCCAGTGGGACTTGACCATGCACAGGGACTTCTTTAGGACCTGGCAGGAACAGGAGCACGGCTCGTGAGCAAATGAGCAGGGGCGGCATGGCAAGTTCCCCTTTCCCATCATGTGGCCTTCTCCAAGTGAAGGGTACCACCAAAGGCAGGCATGATGGCCAGTGCCTGGATGGCTCCAGCATGTGGCACTGGGGCTCGGGCTGTTTGAGTACTCTTCACTCAGCTATCACTGCTTTGGCACTGCTCTGATGCCAGCAACTGGGATTCTGGAATCAAGTGTTTTCTCCTCTTCCTCGACACTCCTCTGCCGGGCTGCCCTGCCTCGAAGCCAGCTGACTACGAACCTCTATCAGCTAGGAGCTGAGTGTACCTTTCCTTAACTTTAGGCATCAGCTATTTTGTCTCAGCAGTGAGAAGAGTAAAGACAGCAGGTTACTGACTCACTGCTGCCTAAAATGCAGAGGCTCAACCTGCAGCACGGGCAAACAAGCCCCCTGTATGCGCAGGGCTTGCCTCCCTCTGTAGCCTGTGCCTGAGAAGGCTACTTGCTCTCTGGATGGGTCCACTAAGGCTCTGGCCAGGATGAGGGCCTGCCCTGCTGGGGACTTACTGTCACAGGGCGCACAGTGGAAGGGTCAGGGGCACAGGTGAGGCGCAGGTAGTGCTTGGTGATGTCTGGGCAGGTGCCCACAATCTGCAGCTCCTGCCAGTCGGGGTCAGCCCCGCCACTGTCTAAATTGCTCATCTGCAGCACCAGGGGCTCGAGGCGAAGGCGGCGGGAGTGCCCATGCTGGAAGCGAGCGGCGCGCTTCTGCTTCTTCAGCTCACGCTCTGGATCCTCACACTCCAGCGCTGCCATCTTCTTGCGGCTACGCTTGGTGGAAGCCAGATCATGTCTGCAGAGAAGGAAAGCAGGCGTAGGAGGCAGATGCTTCTAGCCACCTCTGGCCTCAGGCAGCCTCTGTCAGCTGCCTACCACTAGGACACCCTCCTAGCTGCCTGAGGCTGTCACACAGCCCTCCTCAGTCTCACCTCTTTCCCCGCTGTGCCCTGCCTCGGCCGCGGTCCATGTGGGCCCCCCGACCCCCTCGGCCCTTGGGGGGCGGGTTCCTGCGGGCCACAGGGTGACACTCATTCCCTGAGTAGGAGCTGTCGGAGTCTGAGTGGGAGTCACTGCACAAGAAAGTAGCAGGGTGAGGTCTCCACAGCCCATCCCATCCAGCAGCCCATCCCACCAGCCAGCCTTCGAGTCTGCACACCTTCTCCGAAAGTGGCGCGTAGGCGATCTAGAGGAGGAGCGGGAGCGCGAGTCCGTGCTGGAGGAAGAGCTGTTGTCCTTCATGAAGACATTTCGGTTGCCGAACTTGGCGAAGCTGCTGCCCCGGGCTCGGCCAGCACCCCCAGCCCCTGGCGTCCCTCGCTGGGACTGGGCACCCCCGCCCCTGGTCACTGAGCCTGCCCCCCTGGGAGGGTGAAGGCTGCTAGGGGCCTCCCACCGCTTCTTCTTGGGGCTCTCAGCCACAGGCTCCCTGGTCAGCCTGAGAATACAGGAGGGCAGGGCATCACCAATCCAGTCACCAAACCACAAGACTACAGGCCCTGCAGCCCAGGACTCGCCACCTTGGCAAGGAAAGCACTCACCCCAATGACTCGGCTGCTGCAGTGCAGGAGAGGGAGCAACCCCAGGGTTCTCTGTGACCAGGAATACTTTTAACCACGGTGCAGACGTGAACCCTTACCCGCACAGCACCATGCTTGGGGCCCCGTCTTGTCCCACAAGCCTTTCGCCCAGGCTCCACAGCCCAGGATTCAGCACCCCTCTCTTCCCTTCCCTCCTATGCCGTGCCCCTACTGACCCCGGCAGAGGCTCGCGGCTCCAGTCGATAGTGTAGGCAGAGCCATCCTGCAGCCGAGCCTGCAGAACCTCCTTGAGTAGCTTCTCCGTCCGGTCCTTATCCTCCTCCGACTCGCAGGCTGTGAAGCAACGCTCCACATACTCCTTCATGTCCTGCGGCCAATCGTCAGGCTTCCCAGATAGGTTCCCCCGAGGGGAAGGTCCGCTGTGGGGGCAGATCAGATAAAGGCCTGAACCGGGACCCAGGAGCCCAAACTCAAGGGGAGACCTCACAGGACCAGGGCCAGGGCACAGGACAGGCACGGGAGGCAACCCTCACCTGTGGCTCTGGGCTTTCTCCGGGTTGGGTTGGGGGCCGAAGCTGCTGTGCTGGCCCTCTGCACTGGAGCCAAAGCTCTGGCTGGTGACAGCAAAGGGTCGCTTCTGAATGTTAAACTTGAGACCCCCTGTTCCGGGGGCCGCTGTAAGGCAACCAAGGCTGAGGTCACATCTTTCCTTGGGTGCCACAGAATGCAAAAGAGTAGCACCAAAGGCCCCAGCAAGAACAGCCCCACAACAGTGCACCTCAGCCCCACACCCTGGGCATCTGGCACCCAAGAGCTCTGGGAGAGCCCTACCCCAACCTCTGGGCCTCGTGGGGCTTTGCCGACTTACGCTTCATGCGGTTCCACAGTTGCTGGCCCTTCTTGGGCTTTGCAGGCTCGGGGTAGGTGTGCGGCCCATAGGCCTGGCCTGCAGGGGGGCCCGCCTGGCTGTGCTGCGTTGCAGGTGCTGTTCCAGGCTGGGGCCCATTGCTCAGAGCATGGGCCCCGTGCGGGGGGTTTGCAGGCTGAGGGGGCTGGGCTGCTGGCAGCTGCTGTGGAGAGGCCTGGTAAGCCATGCTCTCGTCCATGCCGGGGACTGGGGGCTGCAGGGGAAATGAGTCTGAGCAAGAAGACAGCTCCGGTGCTAGCTCCCCACCATGTGATACTGCAGTCTGATGTCACTGTAGCCACAGTGCTGACAGCACAGACAACGCAAGCTGGAGCACCCCGGAATCCCTACTTGGGTGCCCATCTCCCATGGAAAGAGCTGAGACGCAGGGCATCTGGCTTATACAACAGTACACGATGGGGGACGAGGGCTGGAGCTCAAACTCAGAGCCAGGTCTATCTGCCTCCCGTGCATGCACTGGACTCCACTATCCCTCCATGCTGCACTTAAATGCAAAGTCAGACTGCACGTATGTGCTGGAGGGAGACAGCAAATAGACTGCCAACCCTAACAGAGTCACAGGCCCACCCTACTTCCAAAAACCATGCTTTGCCCCCTTTATTTTTAGATAAGAAGCTATTTGGAGGGAAGAAAAAAAAATGGGGGAAATAAAAGCAGATTAAATAATGTGGGAAACTTCTGTGAACCCTTCCCCAAACCTATTTTCCCCAGTTCAAGCCAGACTCAGAGTGACCGGGCACAGCATTACCTGGTTCAGAGTCCCTTGGTGCTGGGGTGCTGAAGGCTGCTGGGGGGTGGCTGAGCCGTAGGAGCCGGCCATCCCATACTGGGAGGGGGAGCCATAGCCCTGGTACATGCTCTGCCAAAGTCACACGGGCAGATTAGTGGCAGGCCATCTGTGTCCCTGCTGCCTGCTCAGCTGGAGACCACAGACCTGGGCCTTTTGCTCTCCAACTGTCTGGGAACTCCAAATCCTCTCATGTTAATGAGAAGTAAACACCTGTTGGCCCCTCCCACTCTCACTGGCTCCAACAAGATTCCACACAGCCAGAGAGCTAATTCCAAACTCCACAGTAATGAAATAAAAGGCAAAACTTAATTTTAACAAAGCTCTTGCTGAAGATACACAAGCAGCACAAACACATATACCCTGAGACAATAAGGCAAAGGGAAGAACAGAGACGGGGTACTATTCTCAGGAAGAGGATACAGCTAGGAGAGGCCACTGAAGGCGCTAGCAGAGCAGAAACCCCAAGGAGGGCACCCAGAGAAGGGACACAGCTGCAGCAGAGCAAAGCACGATGTCACAGTCTCGTGGCAAGAACGAGCTGGACACCAATCATGGAGGGACCAGAACCTGATGTGGAGGGTCTCAGGGCACTGGGCAGGACATTGGGAGACCTCAAGGGCCAAACACTGTGGCTCCTGTCTAGCCCCCCCCCCCCACCTCAGGGCCCTGCCCCTAGCCAGGCGCTCACCATGGGATAATAGTAGCTGTAGGGATACGCGTAGTTGTACTGCTGGTACCACTGGTAGTACTGCTGCTGCTGCTGCAGAGCCGAGGCCTCTGCCTGAGACACATACTGTGGAAACAGAGGCCCTGGACATCAGCACCACAGCCCCCAGGGGGCAGGCTGCTCTGCTGGGAGGGAACTGACCTGACCACCACACTCAGGCACCTAAGGGACAAGGGGCACGGCCTCCCTCTCAGGACACCACGCCCTGCCAGTCTCAGGGAACAAGACCCCACCTCCAAGCACATCAGAAAACAACACCCTCAGGACACCCCATCCCAGAGGGAAAAGAATCACATCAAGCCCCCCCACCACAGTTCCGCTAAGGGCTCCCCAGCCTTGTGGCCTCCTCACTTGTGCACTGGCCACAGGGCCATTGCTGCTGGCCTTCGAGCTACCAGCAGCTCCTGCTTTGCTGATGCTGGCCAGGGCCTGGCGGGCCTTCTCCCACTCGGGGTTCTCATGCATGGGCGTCTCCATGCCATTCTCTCTGCCAGTCCCAGCCACCATGCTGTACTGAGAAGACCTGCAGACAGGATATCAAGTCAGTCTGTGGAAACCTGACAGACACCAGACCTCAAGCTGACCTGCCTGAATCTAAGGCTTCTAACTACACTACGCTTAGAAAAGCTCAGAACCCAATATTTGAGGTGAATGAGGTTGCCTTTTATAAGACCTATCCCGGAGTTTGGCACCCAGCAGATGTTAAAGCAAAGGGTGGTCAGTGTCTATAGAATCTAACACAGGATCCAGCAGCCTCAGCATTTTAAGAACCAGTGAATTGTCTTTCATCAGCCATAGCTATCACAATGCACAAAAACAAAGGAACAGCAGAAACACAAATGACTGAGTATTAAGGGCTCGAAGCTACTTCCTACTTACAGTTGCTTGACAGAATCACAGTTCTCTGAGCTGCACACTACACCATAAAGATGAAAGCTCTGAGATGACGACTTGACCCTCTCCACACTGCAAACGTGTCCCTGCCTGTGTCCCACCCGGGACTGCTGCACCCCTCCCCACAGGCTCTGTGAGGCCCTTCCCAAAGGACAATACTGGGCCATAGGATCTTACTTTCCTTTGCCACCCCAAAAGCCTCCGTTCCTCAAGCCCCTACTAACCAATCTGTGCTACGCTGGTCACCCACGTTGGCCGCCATGTGGACCCTGGGGTGCAGGGGGTGGATCTCGGGAGCCAGACTGCTTTTTCACCGTCTGTGTGAAAAGAAATGAGTTAGGGAGACATAAGAAGGAACATGAAACATAAAAAGGGCAAAGTAAGTATACTCATGAGAATCCAGACCAAAGGGGGCATTTGAGGTGTTAGGATTTCTGTTTACGATCAGAGCCAGTTGGGTAAAGACCTAAAAAAAATTTGGGGTGTGGAACAAAGGGGCTAGAGTATGAATATGAAGATTGTAGCACTGGCCTTCCTGCAGTGCCACAGGTGGAAAATCAGGTTTGAAAACCAGGAGGCTTGACTGGACTGCCTAAAGAAAAAGGCCTGAAATCCACAACTGGAAAAGGAGGCTCAGAGGTAAGGGGAAGGGCTTCAAGCACAGACCTAAAAATAACTCCAAGCCCTGGGTGGTGCTGCACTCCTACAATCCCCTCACTGGAGAGGCTGAGGCAGGAGGAATGCTATAAGTTGTAGGCCAGCTTAAACTACATAGCAAGACCCTGTCTCAAGAACACAAAATAAATAATTCCAGACAGCAGTGATTTTGGGAGTAAGTGGGAAAAGGCTGCTCCAGTGAGCAAGGTCTCCAAGAACCCTTATTGCTGAGAAACCTGGGAAGGAAGCATTTGAGACACCATGAAGGAGGAGCTGGAAGAACACTGGCAAATGCAGGAAAATCTGAGGACTGGAGAATTTCTGGAATTCCTCTGAAAGAGTCCTAAGTCCAGGTGCTTTTCCATTTGAAGAAGTACCTTCTCCGAAACCACTGAGATTCACTTCAAAACACTACCCTGCGGGCACAAGAGTGTTCCTGAGACTCTAAAAAGAAAGGGTAGGCCTGGGAGAGAGGAGAGCTCCTTGGAGATAAAGCTTTGCAGACATCTAAGGCCACAATACCTTTAGGAAATCCTTAGGGGCAAGACAGAGAGTACTGGAAGAAAAAGATCGTCTAGAGGGCCTCGGCTTAGAGACCGCGACCACTGGAGGGTTTAACTGAGAAGCAAGAACTAATCCCGCTGGAGAACCCGGAAATCTTACAGGAAGCTGATGGGACAGAACACGAATCTTAACTGGGCAGAGCTCTAAAAACAAAGACCTTAAAGAGGGTACAGAACCAGAGTGGAGGTCAGATCTTGAGTGGGGGGACCTGTGGAGGAGCCTTACAGCAGGAAAGAGACAGAGATAAGAGGCTGAAAGGAGGCAGGAACGAGATGAGAGGTCCACGACTGGATAAGCACCTAACTACCCGCGGGCCCCGGCAAAGCGAAGAGGACGCCGCGCCTGGCCGCCGTCGCCGGGGCAACGGGGCAGCCCGCGGAACCACAAGTCAATGGGCCTAGGGGGAAGCAGTCGCTACGCTTCAGAAGAGTTCCGAGGGGCAGGTAGAAGCGACAGCGCACGCGCGCTGATACCGAGCGCGCACAGTAGCCGGGCGCGCGCGCCCACCTCTGTGCGCAGGCGCAGTGGCCGCCCAGCAGCCACACCCTGGCGACGCCCGGGCGGCGTCTGTTTGGAATGACGGTCGAACAGGCCTCCGGCTCCAGAGCGCAGAGTCGGATAGAGAGGACGTCCTCGCCCGCCCACCAATCCCCACACAAACCAGGTCTGTTCCTTTCCAGGACTCGTCAACAGCGGCCCAAGGTAGTAGCACCACGACAACAAAAACGCTCAGCTACCCGGCAGGCTCCTGTCTTCTTTAGCTTGTACGTCCTGACCACGGCGTCCTGACGTCATGGAGCAACTTCTACCCGCCCACTCCCTGAGCATCCAATGGGCACTGCCCGTTTCGTTTGAGCCCGCCCTTCCACCCACTCAATCACGCGGGCGGTATTGTAATAAAAGCCGGAAGTCGGGGGCAGGGACGGTGGCCCGGAAGAATCAAACGCGGCCAAGGCTTCGGGCCTTCCGCCCTTTTCGGTAAATTTTGCTTTGATCCAGTATTAGCAGCCATTGTTATTCCTAAGGGTGAGCTGGAGTGATGAACTGTGGGACTGCCCACGGTATCGTTCCGTGTAGGGCCGGAGAAAAGAATCGGGAGCTCGCCTTGGGGCGTGAGGCGAAGACTGCGCTAGGAAGAGGAGCTTTCCTAGCGAAGAACCCTAGAATGGGGCACCCTGGAGAGGAGAAGGCGAGTTCAGACCCAGGGAGGCTGCGGGCAGGGGCGCCTACAGCATCCACCAGGGCCGCGCTGCAGATGGCCTTGCTTTAAAACTGCCCGCAGCCAGCGTTCCCGAGTGTGACCCACACTCTGTGCGGGTTAGAGCCTGGTCACTGCAGTTGGAGTAACTGGAAGAACAGTATTAAAAGGCAGTTTCCTTCCCACTGTCTACGACTGAGAACTTGTCTGTGAATCACTGCTACCACGGCGAGACCGTTTTCTCATGTTGTACTGTGAGCACTGGTATTTTTTTGAACAACTTTTGAAGATTAAGCCTTTAGCTTTATTTTTAAAGTTATTATTTTTGTCTTGAGACAGGATGCCACTATGCAGTTCAGGCTGGCCTTGGGCTCACTTTGTAGCCCAGGCTGATCCAGCCTGAACTTGGTACAATTCTCTTGCCTCAGCCTCCCCAGTGCTGGGCTTACAGGCATGCGCCACCACGACCAAGAGCGTTTCATTTTACATAATTTAGATCTACTGGAAAAGTTGCCGAGATGATAGTTACGCATACTCCCTGCATCTGCTCCAGCGTCTTCATCTCACAGTCAAAACTGAGAGACCAACACTGAATAGCTGGACGCTAGGCTTTACTTGGATCTCAATACATTTTCCAGAAATGTTCTCTGTGCGCCAAGTCAAACCAAGAGCACTGAAACTGTATTTAGTTTCCTTTACCAGTTCTATCAGAAGTGGGGTTCTTGAATAATGATCCCTATTTGCTTGATGGGGCAGCTAAGGTCAGTCAACAGGCCAGGTGACTTGTCCAGGCCATAAGCAGGCTGACAAGGTCTAGACGTGTCTCCTGCCAAACTGGGAAAGCTAGGCCCTTAACCTTGTAGTCCCTCTGCGTTTGTCCTTTCTGTGCTGCTGTCTGCAGCTCCCTGTAAAGTCTCAAACAGCGCAGAGCTGCCCTCTCAGAGAGCCCTGTGTGCCCAATTGGTTTCATGGGTTAGTTAGCTGGTTGAAGTGTTGTTGCAGACAGCTCTGATACAAAGCCTTAGAGGCCGATACTTCTCTTTCCTGGAAACTGATTGCCAAGAGCAGTCAAGGAGCTTTAACTTACCTCAGTACCAGCAAAGCGTTCTTTCAAAGGATGTGGCAATAGGTTTGCATACTCTTGGCCAGCATGGGATGACACCCTCTTAACTTCAGGTCAGTCAGTCGTGGAAGAAAATAATCGCTAGTTGTTTCATATTGTTTTCTAATCATTAGAGGATTTTTTTGTTTGCTTGTTTTTGGTACTGGGATTAAACTCACAACCTCACACTTGCTAGGCAAGCACTTATGCCACCAAGCTCAATCCCCAGCCCTTAATCATTAGAGTTTGAGTGTCCATTTACAGACAGACCTTGGGATTTCTGCTTCACTGAATGTTCATTTTAGCTGCTTATTTTTAGTTTATGAGCACATTTGTAGATTATGTATTAATCTTTGTTTGCCATGTGTGTTAAAGACACATACTGTCCACCAGACTGTAAATTTGCCTTTTGGTTTACTTTTTAATTCCCTGATTCATCAAATGATCATTTCCTTTCTGGTTTTATGATACTTGCTCAAGGTTTTCCCCACCCACCATCTGGATACACAGCACACAAATACCCTTCTAATTTTTCCCAAGGTGCTGTGTTCCTTTATCGTACGCTTCTAGATCTCACCCTACTCACACAGAAGTCTATGAGATGGAGCAGATTGATTCAGCAGCACTGCTGTAAACCCCATAGTGCTCTCGACACTGGTCCCGTCATGCACACACACCTTCACACTCAGAGCTGTGTTATGTTTAGCCAGGCCCTTCTGACGTCAGGACGTGTTTGCCTTTCTGAACTGGAACAGCTGCTGAGCCCAGACAGGAGCCGCACCGCCTCATGGCCCCCAAGGAGAGGCCTCCCCGCCTCTCCATGTCAGGAGCAGAACCCAGGAGACAGGAACCAATAAGAACCCAGTGGATCGTAAAATAAAGACTTCCCTTTTATTTCATATCAACCCTTTTCCAAGTTAGTGCCTCAAGTTCACAGTTGGGGCTGGAACCCACTGGAATGTGGCAGGGGCAGAAAGAAATGTGTCCCAACCCAGCTCAGTTCCACCGAGGACGAGGCTGGCAGTGAGGGGCTTGGGGTTGGCTCTGTGCTCCTCCCCTGCCAACCATGGTCCCCGTTCTTCCCCTGCAGCAACCTCCAGGGCTAAGGAGAGATGGAGGGCACTGGGGCCAGGGCACAAGGCAGTCCTGTGTGGTGTCCACAGCCAGGAGTGTTAGTGGTTGGAGCCCAGTCAGACCAGGTTAGTGGGGTCTCCTCTGGTAGCCAGAAAAGGAACTACAGAGAGAGGCAGAGACAGTGCTGACAGGCTGGAGGGCCACTTGTGCACACTCACCCAGAGGAAGCACCTGAGGGTGCTGAAGGGGAGGGCCAAGGCCAGGAAAGGGTCAGGGTGCTCCCCGGGGGGCTCACCGAGGGGGGGAGGCAGGCTCCAGGCTGGCAAGGAGGAGGGGCTCAGATAGATGACTGCCACTGTACAAAGCGCTTGGATTCCTGCCGGAGAGATGCCGGAGACAGGAGATAAAGTGGAACCCACCTTGTACTGTAGACCTCTAAACCTCAGACCTGGGGATCCAGGCCTGGCCTCCCTCAGACCCAGGCCCAGGGCCCAGCCTCCTCCCTCAGACCCAAGGTCTGGGCCCACTCTCCCCACTCAGACCCAGGTCCACACCTGAGGGTTGAAAGGGTCATCGTCCTCCGTGTCATCGTAGTCGTCACTGGGGTGTGATGGGAGTGGCAGAGAAGCAGGATGGGGACCCATCAGGAGGCCACACCCTCCCCAGCAGTGGCCCTGGGGGGTGCCTCCTGTCCCCTCCCTCAGGACCCTGTCCTCTTTCCCCTGCTGACCTGGGTGCGAAGAGGGCCCAGGCACGGGGCAGGCTGCAGAGGGCGGTGGCCAGGGCCCCAGCGGACAGGAGGGAGAAGAGCAGCAGGAAGAGCAGGCCCTCCAGCGCGTCCTCACACAGGCCGCGCAACGCCATGCCATAGTCCTGGGTTGAGGGAGGGTGTCAGTGCTCACCCACATGTGCACCATCACTGGCTCTGCTGTGTAGCACAGGTCACCCCACCCTCTGTACCTCAGTCTCCTCCCCATCAAGAGCTGTTGTGAGGATGGAGAGTCATTTACTGAAAGGCCTGGCTCCAGCCTGGGCCTCTGCTGAGCTGTGGTCCGCTGCTCCCCACCTTGGTTCACAGCAGCATCCTCATCTGAACCAGCCCAGCATCTCCACCCAGTACCTCAAGAACTCCCTGGAGGAGCCAAGGCACCTGGGAATTCCTCTGTGGGTTCATCCTGTGCATGGTGCATGTGAGTGCTATCCCTGCCTCCAACACCTAGATGCCAACCACAGCCTGCTCCCTGCAAGTATGCCAGCTGGCCACATCCTCTGTGCACACTGCCAAGGGCCCTGGGTCCTGAATCACATGGTGAGTACAGCCAGTGCTGGCTGCTGTGCCCACCAGCCCGGACTCAGCAGGACAGCAGTGATCCTGATCCAGGAGCATACCCTGGCCAGTTTTGCAAGACTGGACCAAGCGCCTGCTTGGCACTAGGTACCTCCCAGGACCAGAACTCTCCCATAGACGGAACCCAGAAGGTCATGCTAGATGAAGCCAGCAGTGAGACTGGAAGAGCAGAATGCAGGCTTGGCGGAGGCCATGGGAGATGAGGCACCAGACTGGTAGCAAAGGGGCCCACAAGGAAGCAGGCAGATGGCCCGCCCCGGTCAGCAGCAGGCCATGGGGCTGCTGCAGGGTGTGGGGAGGCAATGGTGCAGAGGCCAGAGGACTTACAGGTCAGAGTAGATAGCTGAGCTTAATCTGTGTGCAATGGGAAATACCGGAGGCTTTTAGGTAGAAGAGACCTTGATCGGATTGTGCGTTAGGAGCATCACCAGCTGTTGCTGGGGTGAACAGATCGGGTGGGCAGGGATGGAGGCTCCATGCCGTGAGGCAGTGGCTGGGGAGCTCTGCACAGAGGACACACCTGCCCACCCTCATCCTCACAAGAGCCCTGCAGGGCAGAGACCGAAACCCTCCTGCTGCTGCTGTGGCTGTAGTGGAAAGAAGCTGAAGCTCAGGGCGGGCAAGTTGCTTTGTGGCAGTCACACAGCCTGGGAGGGATTGGAACCAAGTGCCTCAGCTCCAGAACCAACCCTCCTCCCTCCTCATCCCCGATCTAATGTCCCTGTCCCCTGGCCTCCCTGGCTCTGCAACACACTCCTCGGGGAATCCCCTTTAATCTCCCTCACCTCCTGCCACACCCCACCAGCAAGTCTGTCAGCCATTCCTCTGAAGCCCATCTGGACTGCAGCCTCTGTTCATGCAGCCTCACTGCTATTGTATGTGGGTAAATTGAGGCCCAGTGTCACATGGTATCAGTAAGGGCAGACACTCTGGCACCGGTAGGTGGTACAGGCAGGCTCCCTGTGGTTTGCCTGATCTGTTGGTCCTGTTACAGGGCAGGCCAGGGTGGGGAGAGCGGTGGGCTGAGGACCGGGTCTGAGCTGAGTGGGGCCTTAGTGTGGGTGGATGGTTGAAGATACTTCCGGAGCAGAAGGGCAAGGCTGGGCAGCAGGCGGGAAGCCCTCTGCCAGGTCCCTGTGTCCTTGGCTGTGACTGCAAGTCACTTAACCTCCCCCCTCCCACTTTCAAGTCTGTAGCTTGGGATAAGGAGTCCCTTCCCTGTGGTGAGGAGGGAGAGAGGTAGCACCTGTAAAACACTACACAGTCAGGTGTGCAGGCTTCGGGACGGGAGCCCGGAAAGCAGCCAGGTCAGGATTTTAGACTAGGTCTGTCATGGTTTAGATCTAGATTGCCCTCCCAAAGTCTCATGGCTTCCATCCCAAATTCAGAAGAAGGCCTGGGAGCTCAGGCAGGGTGCCTCTGAGAGGGCAGTGTGTGAAGCTGTGAGTTTGAAGCCAAATGTGCAGTGGAGACCCCAGAAGTTTGCAGAAGCAGGAATGTGGGTCATCTGAGGAAGGCAGTAAATACAGCCTACCCGAGAGAGAGAGAGAGAGAGAGAGAGAGAGAGAGAGAGAGAGAGAGAGAGAGAGAGAGAGAGAGGCAGAGGCCTCACTGCAGGGGTGGGGCCAGCTGAGCCCTGTAGAGCTCACAGCTTGTCATAACCTGCCCTGAGTGCTGGACCCAGCTACAGGGTCTGATGTTTGCCTTGCTGGCTTTCAGTTCTGGTTTGATTCCTGTCTTCTCTCTTCCTGTTCTTCCTTCGTGGAATGGGGGTATGTGTACTTTGTGCCATTGGCAGCATTTCACTCTCTTTTTAAAATGTAATTTAATTTTATTTTTTTGTCTTTTTCTTTTTTATCGGTACCGGGGATCAAACACATGACTGCCTGCTTGCAAGGCAGGCCCTTATGCCACTGAGTAAATGCCCAGCCCCATTTCACTCTCTTTTGATTTTTATAGGACTCACAGCTAGGATCTGCCTTGAGTCTCCTAAGAAATTTTGGACTTTTTAGTAATGCTGGAACTGTTAAGACTTTGGTGACTCTTAGACATGGCCTAAATGCATTTTGCATAAAGACATGCACATGAGTCTTTTGGGGGTCAGAGGTGAAACATTATGGTTTAGATCTAGATTTCCCCCACAAGCCTCCTGTGACCCAAGGTGGGGCTTGTGGCGAGTGGTTGGATTACAGCATGCTCTACTCATCTGTGGAGTCATCCACCAGTGGGGTCAGTGGCTGAGAGCACTGTTGGGAGGTGGAGCCTGGTCACAAGAGAGGTTACTGGGAGAACAACAGGGAAAGGTTCATCTCCTTCCCTGGCTGCTCCCTTCTCTACTTGCTGGCCACCATGATATGCTCAGCCTTCCTCCACCCAGGCCCTTCTACCATGCTGTTTGTGCATTTAAGGCTGCTGACGATAGGCTAAAACTTCTGTAACTGTGAACCAAAACCAGTGCCTCTTCCTTTAAGTTGTGAGTATCAGGTGTTGTCTCAGTGATGAGGAAAGTGACTAAGCCAAGGTCCCACGGTTTTATGAGGTTGAGTCCCTGTCTGAAGGATGTGTTCATCCTCACCTTTCAGGCAGGGAAACCAAGACTCAGATGCCACAGGCCTGAGATCTCAGCTACTGCAAATGAGTGCTGCAATGAGTCCTCCCTGATGCTCTGCCCACCCTACAGGATGACGTACTAGGACAGGAACTTGTCTATAATCCTGGCTTTGAAAACAAGAGAGCTGGGGCACACCGGGGCTAGGGGACTGCCCAGGACTGGAACCCAGGCTCTCTGGAACCCTCAGGGAAGACGGAAGAAAGAGAAGGGACATATGGAAGGGGAAAAAGGAGGCAATAGAGATGGTAGTGATGGATGATAGGAAGTTAACAGGGAGAGAATAGAGATGTACGTGGATAGAGGGCAGACAGAGGCCTCCAGTATGACCAATGGGAGATGGTCAACAAGAGGAAGGAAGTCCCTCTGTG